GTGAAAAGTAGACTTTTTAAATAAAAAAGTGATCTTTTTGAAATAAGACCACTTTCATTACTATTTTCTAGTCCTATGGCTGGCTAGCCATGTGGTATAAAAAAGAAAATGAGTAATTGTGGCCTTTTAAAAAATAAATATTACAATACAAAGTTGAATTTTGTTAGGTAATTTTTTGCTGTTGTTAAAGAATGATGCTACCTTCCTAACACTTTGTCAAGCTCAAGTATAGTAAGCAAGTATTGATTTGGAGACGGGGAAGGGAAATTTAAAGCATAAGCTACTCAGGATAGGCCTGGGTAGGTGCTGAAATGGTTGAACTTAAGAGCATCTTGAGGGCACAGGGTACTTTTGGGGATGGGACATCAGGGAAGAAGGTGACAAAAAACGGAGATATGAGAATTCCAAGTACAAACTCACTTTTTCTGAACTTTTTCTATGGATTTGCTCTACTCCCAGGAAATGAAGAAAATTTCGAGTATTATTTCCTTGAGCTACATAACCCTCTACTACCAGGATGTAAGTCTTAGCTCAGAAACTGAAATCATATTCAATAACTATTTCTTGGATAGCAGATGAAATCATGATGCTATCTAGATCATATCAGAGATTAAGAAATTAGCCATCTTCTCTGGGGGAGAGTCAGGAAACCTGCCTGGGCCAGGACCTGCCAGTGGTACAAAGCAAAGGTCCATCTCTGCTATGGAAAGAGCAGGAATGCTGAGAGAACCTCATCCCTGAGGCTTAGAAGAACAGTAATTCCCAAAGACTAACTCTGGACCAGGAGAACTGAGTAATTCCCCTGTGCCCACTGTAAGTCTTAACACAGAGTAACAGCAGCAGCAGCCATCCTTTTATTAAGCCTGACTGAAAAAAAAAATGTGTTGCATACACTGGAAAAAGAAGAATGACTGTTGATTTCTCATCAGAAATAATGGAGGCCAGAAGAAAAGATGAAATCTTCAAGAAAAAAAAAATCTCAACCCTAGAATTAGACAGTGAAAATGTCATTCAAAAGTAAGAGTGAAATAAAGATATTTTTAGGTAAAGGCTGAAAGAATTTGTTGCCAGCAGACTTGCACTAGAAGAATTGCCAAAGAAAATAAGTTAGTGGTTTCTGAAAGTGTTAAGCTAATCATGTGACCTGGCAATTCCATTCCCAGAGAAATGAAAACGTGTGTTCACACAAAGACTTATATACAATTTTATTCATAATAGCCCCAAATGAGAAACCACCCAACTGTGCATCACTTCAACAGGTGACTGGATAAATAAATTGTGGTATATTCATGCAACTGAATATTATTTACTAATAAAAATGAACAAATTGATTCATGCAACAACATGGATGAATCTTAAAAAAACATGCTGAGTTTCTTGAAAGAAGCCAGACAAAAACGGGTAGGTTGTAAACAATTCTAATTATACAAAGTTCTAAAACTGGCAAAACTAATCTATACTAATAGAAATTCAATTAGTACTTACCTGGGTGGTTAAGGAATAGGTAGATTAACTACAAAGCTGTATAAGGGAATTTTCTGGGTTTCAGAAATGCTTTTTATTTTGATTCGGGTAGTGGTTACAGGATGTGTACATGTTTCAAAGTCATTGCAAAATACACTTCAAATGTGTGCATTTTATTGTATATAAATTATAGTCCAATAATATTGATTTTTGAAAAGAGATATTATTCTCTTCAGAGTTATAAAGCATTACCTGTATAGATCTGTCTTGTTATCAAACCAATCTGATAAGACTCGAAAGGTAAAGAGGGGAAAACGCTGATGAAGAACATGAAAGCTCACATTTTCAAAGGTGTAGTTAGTCAGAGCCACCTAGAAAAAAAAGTAAGACACCATTATAATAGTGCTTACACTTACATACAAGTTCGTTTCTAAAACAGCCTGAATATTATTTCTAACTTTTCATAGTAGATATGAAAGCTACCTGTAGAAATGATTTGTGTTACGACTGACTCATAATTGATTTAAAACTATGTGTATATATAGCCTACTAGACAGAAATGTTTGTAATAAATTAATATTTAATTGGAAAAATAATCAGACCTGATGAAATTCAACTAGGTCATACATTACTTACTTTGGAGATTCCAGTTCTTATGACTTCCTTTTATACTCTGTGCCAATACAAATACTGACAAATGGACGCACTGCCAAACAAGTTAATTTTTTGTTCTTTCTGTACTCACTTTTTGTCCTTGATGACATGCTGATTAACAGGCTCTCACAGATTCGAGGACTAGTTAGCTAGTTAAAGGCAGGCATTCATCCTGCTCCCAAGAATTACATCAATACTAAGACCTAATACATGAACATTATGGACTTAATTTCATTCCAAAAACAAAAGATTAAAAATAAATGGCAGAAATGTTTCCTAATCTTCAAAATATGTAGGTGAAATCTGTTTTTATGGGAAAAGAATACTGAAAAAGGGTCCACATTCATAAAATATACCTCTAGCTGGATGATCTCTCAGAAATACCTACAAGACACATGAAATCTAGACAATGGCAGTATTTCGATGTAAATGGAAGTCAAGGAACCAGCAGTCACCATTCTTAGGTCAGCCCTTGGGGTTCTGAGGATAATTCAAACAGCACTTCACATTTGTATATTACAGTTTTAAAATATTTTTCTTTTCCACTTCTACAATCCAGCAAGTAAAAAACAGGGATTAAATATTAAACTCATCTCAGTGCAGTGCCCCAAACTGCTCTTACTTCATCTACAATTTCTATCAATCTCCAGAACAACAGCATTGGAATGTGGCATACTTCAGAGTGTGTGCATACTTCAGAGTGTGTGTACATACTTACATATACACACACAGACACACACACACACACACACACACAGTTTTAAACTTTGGAATGAGCCTACCTATTCTAAAAGTCACCAGTATAAAGCAAGTATTAACCTCTAATCTTGGAAGTAAATCACCATTTCTTTTATGAAAACCAGTACTGCCCTGGACTACTTCTCTCAAAAATAAGTAACTCATTTTATTATCAAATCTTCATACTTGGATGACTCTTCTACATGCTAATATTTTAAGTTAGTTTTTTTTAAAGTTTCTATTTAGTTTCATAGAAAATGGAACCAAATATCTGATCTCAGGTAGTTACATGATTACCTAATATACAGTATAGCCCTTTAGACCAAATCTAAACTTCTGCTGGAGTATATATGTTCATTAAAACAAACAATCAAAAAAATCTCTACAGAAAAGATCCCCTTGTCCTGCACCTTTCTCATTATCCCATGTAAGTTGACCTGTAAGGATTAACTAGGGGATCCTGCGACCTCAAACTAAACTTAAATACAATTTAAGAAACTGCCCCCCAATATCTGAGGCAGATGGCAGACCTATGTTCTGGGCTGATTTTATTTCAAACAGAACAATTTCATAAATAGGATTAAGACTAAAATATTATAACCTTGTAACACCCACTGTACTTTGGGTCTTCTCAGTGTCACAAAAGCAAAAAAATGCTCAGCTATAATCTTAGCTGTGAGTAAAATTAAAAGAAGGAAACATGAACTCTAAAATTAAAATGATCCATCTTCAGAATGTCAGTCTTTAGAGAGTGATTTACTCCAGAAAGTGAAATATGAATCTAGAACTAAGACTCAGGAGTTTGTTACTCGATATAGGGGGAAATCTGAGTAAGTTAAACATTGGAAAATGTACTATGTAGAGCAAAGTCAGAACTGATAGAAATGAAGAAAGTATTACAATTCATGTATTTTACTGACAAAGGAATGGGCTGACAGAGGTATGATTACACTTTCCCAGAGTCTGTGTGCAAAACACAGTGGTTGGTCACTTCAGAAACAAACTTAGAATGGAGAGAGGCAATCAGAGAATTAGTGCAGAGGAACGGACAAAATAAAGAGGAAAGGAAAAAAGTGGAAGGAGACCATAAAGTAAGCACCTGTGCTCTATTATCCTCCTTCACCTTATTCCCGGAGTTGTTCCTCATTTCCCCAGAGTCTTCAGTTAAAAATTGTTTTGATTGACATAAACTTCATATAAAAATACACAAATATAAAGTGAACAACTCATCAATTTTTATGTATGTATACATCCATGTACCCTCCACCCATATGACGAAATTTCTAGGATGTTGGAAGGCTCCCTTGTGCCGTTTCCCACTCAATACTCATCAAAGTTATGGATTAATCTTGCCTATTTTTAAACTTCATATTAATGGAAACATTTAATAGGTACTATTATTTATTTGGTTTCTTTTGCTCAACATTAAATCAGAGATTCATCTATGTTGTTCAGTGTGGCAGTATTTGATTCTTATTCACTGCTGTGTGGAGTTCCTGTATTATAGCTGCTTACTCTGCACCCTGACACACACCAATTATTTGCTGACAAGTCTATCTCCTTTTCTAGTGTTGACAGCAAGAATATCTTTGTACCTCCCTTCCACTCGCTCTTCACTCTGCACCAAGACTCAACAGTGATCTGTCTTCTCTTTAAACGTGTATACCATTTATGTCTCCTTTGGCTCTTATATGATGCCTGTATGGTCAGTGATAGATGTCCTATCAAAGCAATAAAATATATTTGGGGGACAACGGATAAACACATACACATACTCTTTTTAAACATGCTCTCTGTCCTCAGAGAGCTTACTTTATGTATTTTATTTTATACATGTTTTATTTTACATATACTTAAAATATATAAAATAAGCTCTCTGTGGATATAGAGCATGCCCACAATAAGCTGGAGTTTTGACCCCTTACTAGCTATGAGGCTTTAGACAAGTCATTAACCTCTGTGAACATGTTTCCTCATTTGGAACAATACCTCACTACTTTGCTGTCTTATATATCCTGCAAGTTTGCGAGTACCAAAATTAAAACATGGAAGTCTGTAAAAGTGCCTTATAGATGATAAAATACATAAATGCAAGGGCGCATATTTTGCCTCTTTAACACAGGCTTAGTGACAGACTGATGCTATATTAGGGAATATTAGAACCATACTCCATTATCACCAAACTGAGATTGGGGGAGGCTTACATGCTAGTGTGGAAGCACCTGACCTTCCCAGTGACTCTGATGGGAGTGTTCTCTCCCCGTTCTTCACTATCTTATCTGACTACTCCTTCTTAGGATCTGATTCCTCTGTCCACTCCTCAAAATGTTTTTATTCATAAAAATGTGCTTGGCTCAATCCTGATCGTTCTCTCCATTCACTTCTTGGTGAGCTCATCCACACTTGCACGTGACTTCCAAGGCTTTATCTCTAATCCAGAGCTCTACCCCATATGTGAGACTTCCTATTTAAATGTCTGTGGGGTATCTTCACCTGGATATCTGACTGATACCTCATGCTCTACATTCTTAATCATCATTTTCCCACCTAAACATGATCTTAAACCATCTATGCCAGAACCTTGATAATCATTCTTGACACCTTTCTCTTCATTTTTTTATACATCCAGGTCTTGTGGATTTACCCTTTAAATTGTTTTTTGAATCCCTGTATCACTGCCAACTTTCATTTGAGTTACAATAATCTTCTCACTGATTTCCTTACCTCTAGGCTTGTCTCCTTCCACACTGCTACCAGAAAGACAGGTCTCAGGCATAAATTCACTATCAGTACCTCAATATCACCTTAGCCACCCTGATGATCATACTCCAAAACCTGTGATTACCAGATTAACTGTACCCCTCCATAATCTCAAATATCCCTTCCTCTACTACCGTCTCCTTCTGGTTTAATCCTTCTGGTACCCCAACCTCTTTGCTCCTAATTTGGCTCAAATTCCACAATGATTATAAGCAAAACCTTGTACTACCATTCAGTTCTCTACCCCTTGTTCCCTTTGTAACTCATTAATTAAAATTTAGTAAAGTCTTAACCCTTTGCTTGTGAGTTATGTTCAAATCTAACCCTGTTTCCTTGTGCTTACATCTATAAATCTGAACATACCTGGCAGGTATCACTTTAATTTCTTAATGCAAATCTCAAATAGGCTGTCAAAATCTGGCTTCTTATTTTCTTAATTAACCACTCTCAAATTCTCCTAGATAATTCTTTTTCTCTCCTCAAAACCAAAGAGCCCCTCTACTCTGCTCACACTCAGCTGAGAAGAGTGATTCCTAGTTCACTGAGAAAATGGAAGCCACCAGAACTTCCACAGATTCTCACAGTCACGTGTACCCATCTACTGACATCTGCACCCAGATAACCTGCCTCTCTGCCTGCTAAAACAGAGGAATCAGCTATGCCCTTAACTAAACCCAGGCCCAAATCTGTGCACTAGGGATGGCACTCCATAAATATTTGTTGAGTTTAATCAGATGTATTTCCCACCTACTTTGCACCTTCCTGAAAGGCCTGGATTAAGCTGATATCCACAAGGCCTCTAAATAAAATCCTCTGGGGAAGAGTCAATTATTCTTTCATTTAAGCAGTCAACAAATGCATCATGAGTACTATTTAAGAAGTACTTCATTTGTTACTGAGGATTCAAAGTCCAGAGGGAACAGCAGTTAATTCTAAGTTAAAGTTAAGCAGGAGAGTGAAAACTAGTATATTAAAACACAAGTAAACACATTTTTAAAAAGCCAAAGTAAGCATTAAAAAAAAAGATATCCATTCAACTGTAAACTGCATCTAGGGGGAGGGGAGTGCAACTGTTGTGGAGATGTCCTAGAGAGAACAAGGAGATTTTACTTTCATTTTATAAATGCTTCTACATCTATTTTCTTAAATAGTGAATATAAATTAAGTTTAATAAAGAGCATATTAAAAACAAACTATAAAGATTTAAGAAAATAATAATAGAGTTAGAAACAGCAAAATGTCATGAGGGAGATACAGATAAAAGAAATAAAGATTAAAAAGAGCCTCTGGAACTATTTAAATCCAGAAAAAATAGTTTGAGGGCCTTTAATATTAAAAATATTCTCAGGGCCAGCTTCTGTCCAAGGTCATCACCCTTAAAGTTCTAGAACAACTTGAGATGTAAGACAGTACCTTCCACACGTTCATTCAGGGTTTCATGGGAATTTCCAAATTGCCAGGAGTACTTTGGGTTGGGAAAAAGTGACAGTCTGATTTGGCCCATCTAGGAAGTGAGGGTGAGTTACCCAACTCGTAACTTTTCTCACAGTTGTTCCTCTCAGATACAAATAAAGAGCAGAGATTTTATATATTCAGCCCAGAATTAGAGAAAGCCTTTGATCCTGAATTTTCAGTAAAGACTAAAGAAAGCCCTTAACTATGTTTAAATATTTACTCTCTATTTTGTGGTTTTAAGCTAATAGTTGATAATTGCTGTAACTGCCTTTTGGATCTTCAGGAATGAAAAGACCCCTGAAATTAGGATTCAATAATTTAATTTTGTATTTATATACTTAATACATGTGTTCATTTCAGGCAACATCAGAGACTGCAGTTTGAAATATATATAATAGAATATACAGACCAAATACTTTACAGTCTCTGTACCTTCCATATCCTATGCCATATCACTAGGAAGTGCAGTTAACCCTTGAACAACACAGGGCTTAGGGGCACCAACCCCCATGCAGCCGAAAATCTGTATAGAAATGTTACAGCCATCTTTTCTTATCTGTGAATCTTAATCCGTGATTCAAGCAACTGGGGATTCAACCAAACTGTAGACTGTGCAGTGTTGTAGTATGTATCTGCTGGGAAAAAAATTCCTGTATAAGTTGATCTGTGCAGTCCAAACCCATGTTGTCTGAAGCCCAACTGTATTTTGATTAATATTTTAAGGTGAAACAACAGGATAAAATTATCCTCAAGCAGCTACATACATAGTACATTTTCAAATTACATGAAATGTGAGCTTAACTTGCATAACTTTAGGTTCATGGTGCAGAGAGAAAATAAAAAGAAAAATGGGAATACCTAAATTTTATATAAAGAGCGTATTTCCTTATCTGGAAGAATTACTGTATGATAGTGTCCAAAAGAATTGCAGAGGGCATGCTTAAAAACTCAAATCTTTATATAAATATAGACGAGTCAGAAAAGATCACAGTTAATAATGAGTATATAATAGAAGATGTATAATGAGAAAGTTTCAAAGGGATGTAGCTGAAGAATATAGTTCTCTTTTAAATATAAAGATTTTATCTGATATTACCCGAAGTCCAAAATCTGAGAATAGACCAATGTACTGTAGGTATCTTTTTTTCTTACATTTTTGGTGAAAGAATTATTTCTCTGAGTGATTGCAAATTAATATGATAGCTTGTTGAAATATGTACTACCAAAAATCCTTATCTGGGCCTCCAAAGTCTCAACTGGATGTTGCCATTAACTATTTCCACGCACTGTCTTTCTAATTCACCCAGTTTTTAAATATCCTTAGTTCAAAAAGTTCCTTCCTATGTCTAGACTAAATTTTTCTTACTGTAATAAATCAGAAAGGTCAACCTGACTTCCTCTGGCCTTGAGCATAAAAATGATTTAAGAGCAAAAAATGGTGAAATGATACAACATCCCATACATACAACATAACATTTTATGATAGCTACAGACTTTTACAGCCCCTGCTATTTGTGCTCAGACACAAATAGGAAAAAAAAAATCATCAATTACGTTAAAGTTAAATACTTCTGTAGCTTTGCATTTTAGAATGTAGTATTTATTTTTGTTAACTCTACTTAAGTATAAGAAAAATAATTCACAAAGAAGCATAGTTACCTAGGAAGCTATATGGATATTCTGTAATGGTTAAAATCATTATATTGACCTAATCTCTTATTCCCAAACCAAATTTCAGATAAAATACCTTACCTCATTTCTCATGATTCTCCAAAGATTTAGTGTAATTCGGCCAACGATATTTATCTCACTCATTGTATCTGATCCATAGTCATCCCTTTCTGCTGTAAATCTGTTCTCAGTTTTGTCATCTATAGAAATGAATACAGATTGCTTCAGAACTCACGAAAACCAAATTTCCAAGCAAACTATGTCAAAGAAAATGAGAATAATAAAAATGAAAGATGAAGACTACAGGTGAAATAAAATTCAGTCTGTTTTGTACTAGATGAGAATAATCATTTTGACTAATAAAACAGTTTTTCTTTCCTCTTTAAGTTATGAAAGAATTTTGTGAAATATATTTGAGAACTGTATATAATTAATAATAAATGTGTATATATACACATACATATTTTTAAAAAATCCTTTTCTCTTTAAATACGGTAATTTCCAGTGCTATCTTTTACAAACACCTAATGCTGCAGCATTTCTTTGGTGTTTGGATGAAAAATATTTATTGTTAAACTGGTCATTTCTTGGGAAAAAAAATGGTAGAATTTTGAACCTAAACAATTCTCTGAAAATTTGTTGACATTAATTAATAATGTTAATATTCAGGATGAAACTCTCTTAACTGTGTATGGAGAACTAGACGAAGAGCTCCTTTTATAGTGAACAGAGTTCTGAGTCTAGTTTCTCAGAATAGAAATTAAAATTTGTTTCTCCTGCATAACACTGGGTATATATGAATGTTGTTGATTAGAGGCTCTGGAATAATAAGTATATTTACCGTATTTGAATGTCTATTATGTTCTAAGAACTTTGCAAACATTATTTCTTTCATTTTAATATTTTGTTACTATAGTGTTTATTTTGCACTGTAGTACATTCAGAAATGTTACACTATGCCCTAGGCCATACCATAACAGAACTAGTATTCTACACCAGGGTTACCTGATTCTAATGACCATGTATGCACACCCACACCCACTGCTCTTCATTCTTTATTTAAAAGTTTTTTTTCAGGTGTACAGCATAGTGATTCAGTATTTTTGCAGATTATATTCCATTGTACATTATTACAAGATAATGGGTATAATTCTATGTGCTATGCAGTATGAAACTAACACAATATTGAAAATCAGCTGAAAACAACTATACTTCAGTAAAAAATAGTTTAAAAAAGTTTTAAGAATTTGTTTAGCAAACATATAACATTCACTATGTTCTCAGGCACTGTTCAAAGTATTTCACAATTTCCCTATAAATTCTATTACCATGTTACAGACGACAAATTAAGGTATGGATAGGTTAAGTAACTTGCTTGACATCACAAGGCTAGTTAGCAGAATAGCCAGGATTTGAACCTTTCCAGAATGTGCTCTTTACCATGCCTTTCTTATCACGCCCTCTCTATTGCACCAGCTGCCTCATGAAAATGCTTTCAGCAGTGTTCTAAAAGGGGAGGAGCTTTCATTCATTCTTCTGATCTGAAGTCATATACCTTACCCATTACAATTACTTAATTAATAAGTGCACTGAATACTCATGCTGCCCTTTCTGAATATTCAGAAATCTATCCTAAGTGGAATCTTGAAAAAATTGAGATATACCATTATTCCTATCACTCAAGGGACACAGAATCTACAAAAAAAAAAAATTCATGCAGGGAATGACTAAAAGCAGCTATGCCTTTTTATTCCAATTTTTGCAGAGCTCAAAATATTTATTGTCTTCAAATTTTCTAGCTTCAACCTTTCCCGGTAAATTTACCAATAATTTAGACATCTTATTGACTTAATAACCCCTCTCAGGAGGTCTCTTGATTAGTTTTACTAATTTTGTATTTGGTCTTTTAGCCTCCCAAAGTATATGCTACTTTGTCCTGATCAGATTTGTGGGGGGCATTTAAAACAAAGTTATTAAAAATTCTGTAACTATAAAGAAAACATAATTTTAAAAATTGCTTTAAAAACTATAGTTTTGATATGAATATTATTATTGACCCCTCTTCAATTACAATCACACTTTTGGGAACAGCCTTCAAAATTCACAGTTTTTAGTATTCCTCTACTATCTTCTCCTTTTTCACCAAATAGATAAAACATAAAGCCAGACAAATAAAATAAAATAAAGTTATGGTGTATCAAGTCAAAGAAGTGTTAAGTGCTTCAAAATGATTATGAAGACTATTTCATAATATAGAAAAATACTTATGATAAAATGCTAGATGAAGAAAGCATAATAAAAACGGGATATATGTATGATTAAAGTTATATAAAAATAAAGAGCTATGTATGTATATGAAAAATGACTGAAGGAATAATGAACAACAAATGTACTAACTTTATATATAGCAGTGAGATTATGGTATTTTTTCTTTTACTTTTCTTGATTTTTAAATTTTTATATAATGACATTATATCTAGAACTTATACAATTTAGTATTAAAAACTAGGCTAAAGCAATAATACTTTTAAACATCTTGTCTTTATTTATCTTGTAACTTGCTCTGCAGTTGAACAATAAAACATTCACAGTGCTTCATACCTGGTACCCGAGAGATCATCTGGCATAAGTCAACACTTAGGGCAGCAGCCCTTTGTAAGAGGTAACCCCAGGAATGCATCTGAATCTCATATCCTAGCAGAATATCAGGGTCATACCTAAAGGAAGAATAAAAAAATTAAACAAGGACCACACATTTGAACCTTTAACTAGAAGAACTGTTTCTTCATGATATAAAGTATCAAACACTCTATAAAAGCTTCTCAGGTGGAGGAGATGATATAGTGGTACCTATAGAATTTCTGTACAGGAAGGGATGGGATGATTAGAATTCTCAGTTTGAAGCTACTTTTGTAAAGCAAGCATAGTTTTTTACTTAGATTGTGTATTTAATTGACATGACTTGGAAAAGGGGCTGCTAGAAATTGGGGTGGGAGGCAGGCATTACCAGTGAAGTATATGCAGGAGGGTATGATGGAGATATAATGCAGGGAGGGTGGGGTGAAGTATGAGGGCATGTGCGGATACTGTATTTTGAAAATGATCCCCCAGGTCATTCCGTTGCCACTTCTCTACCTTTCTACCCTCTACTGTCCTTAAACAGTTTTAATGCTGAGAAAGAAAATGAAAATGTTTTCCTTCTCTTACTTAATTTTAGTAATGACTTTGTCCTCACATAAAGTAAGGTCTCAGTAATGGCAAGTTTGTCCTCTAAACTTAAGAGGAAGGTGACTCAGTTTAATGAGAGAATGAAATATAAAAAGGGGTGAGATTAATGTGGGTAATTTAAGCATCAGAAACTAGGAGAAAAATGTGCTCGCTGAGGTCAGAGTTGCACTGGTAGAATTGAATCAACAATCTGCATCCAACCCAGAAGGAGCCTCTTTGTGACTTCTCTTAGGACTTCCATGGTGACCACCATGGAAAAATGGTTATAGTACAAAGGAAAATTAACATGAAGATGTACTTTAATGGGAAAATTGTGTGAGCAAGACAAAACTGATTAGTCTTAAGTGCAGAGTAAAAACTTTATAAAGCTATCAAATTAGAAGCTCCATATTACTCTGATTATTGTACTATTGTTTATAAAAGCCAAGAAGCAGAGTGAAAGATCACAAACATTCATAAAGTTGGGTTTTGCACAACTGCTTATAAAGTTACACTGAACTGTGGGATATGCAGTCTGTCCAGATCATATCACTGCCACTTGAAGTATCATCCAACGACTGCAGTATAGGATTGCACCAGTTTACTGAGGTAAGCTTTATATGGTATTCTGCAAGTCTATGGTATAACAATGGATTATAGGCAGAAGAGATCTATTTTTAGAACTGGATTGCTAATATTTTACCATATTTCCATAGCTACTTTCTTTAAATGGGTACTAAATGGCTTCAGTTCTTATTTAGACAACAAAAATAAGAATGCCACAAAAATGTCTTCTTATTTTTAACCTGGAGACTTTAAGGGGCTGATGTGTAAAGAACTAGGTTCAAACTTCTGCAATAACATTCTTTTCATTTTTCCCATTCCTTAAAGGCCTTATAAGATACATTCCCTAATGTAAATTTCAGTATCCCGTGATCTGCTTGTGATCCACTGTTATACTACAGACTTACAGAGTAGCCTTAAAATTTGTCAGGAGAAAAAGATAACATATATATCACTCATATGTTTTTCTCTATATATAAAGGACTGAAATTTCTGCGAAAACCACTAAATTTAATAAACATTTTACTGATTAATTTAATAAGACAGCCAAACGGATCTTTTCACCAACATTTAAGTGTTTTCTTGGTAGAAAGTGCTATGTGGAATGTGTAGCTCTGGAAAAAAGAGCAGGATTATAATACGAGCACAGAGAGGCAAAAAAAAAAAAAAGCAAGGCAATATACAACAGTGAGGCCTAATCTCAGAGATCAGAGGTCAAAAAGGTAGATTAATTCTTAAAAAGGAAGTCCAGAAATGTCTTAGGGCCTCAAGAAAAGAGAAATCTCCCAATACCCTTACTGCTCAGTAGTCATCTAACATAACATCCAATATCTTAACACATCTTTGTTGGTAGCAACTTCATCAACTGTTGCATTAAAGTTAAACTCTTTCCAGAGCTGTCAGAGATGAACTATCTGTATGACGAGTGCATCTCCCTGTAAAACTAAGTACGTAAATGTTTAAATTTGAGAAACTGGGGCAGAAGTGTCAAGGCTCTAAGGATGGTCAGGGATAGGAGATTTGAAGGATTCCCATACACACGCAAAAGAACCCATGTAGCTGACTACTTTATGCCAAGAGTAACTCAGAACAGGCATTACAATCTGATTGCAGCTGACCTTGATGTTAAGAGAATTTGGAAGATTGCTGGAGTATCTATCACGTACATTTCTAAGCATGGGTACAACATGAAGAGGATGCCAGATGATTACAGAGCCCTTCTGTTGTAACTTACATATTTCTTCCAACTTCTTCACCCAAATCTCTAATTATTATCATCTAATTATTATCAGAATTACTACTCCAATCAGTTACTTGCTCTGTTGTGGCAACTAACAGAGTGGTTAAGTACACTTATTTTTTTGATAATGTTTCAAAAATATTTTTTTCTCAAAAAGTGTCTATTTTGTAAACTACACCTGCTCACAGAAAACCACTGAAAAAACAAAGTTATCCTTAATACTTCTCTTAATGGATTTATTAAATAGATTTTATTCTTTTAGGAGAACTATGTGGCTGTTTCAGTATTTTCAGATCTATTATGTATATTTATTTTTTGTCCTAGAGGCTGTTTAGTCTTATAAGACTCTCAAGGCTGAATAAAACGTATTTCAAGTTCAAAGTCCCAAGAGTCCCATATTTGTTCTGTGAAAACATCTGGTGACAATAACAAAATCTCAGTGACTTATTCTTCAATTTTTGTAAATTTTATTCACTCTACCAGGTTTCTAAAAGTTATAGAAAGAAAAAGGTTGGGTAGACAGGTTTAGTGGTGAAGAATGAAACTGTGGAGAAAATGGAAACAGCAGAAATATGAAAATGATTTTATTTGCTTAGGCAGAAAAAAGCTGCTTCACAACTAATATTTTAGATAACCCACTAACATCTGTACAGGTGAGAGGTAAGGGCCTTCTAGGGGAGTGGCAATGGGCAGGGGGAAGGGGAAAGGAATGATCTTGAAAAATAGTTGAGGTTAAATGGATAGGATGTAATGTATGGATGTAGGGAAGAGAAAAAGGGAAGAATCAAAAATTATTTAAGTTAGGAAGGCTGGGGAAATGTAAAATTAATAGTTCAGGGAACAGAAAGTGAAAAACGATTGTTACAAGAAAATAATGGTTTTACTTGTTTAATTTCACTTTATACTACTTTATGTGTTTGCAACTTCATGAAATAAATATTAAGAATGGAAAATTAAATACAAAATCTTTGAGAATATTCATCTATATTTTATTCAGTTTAATATTTAGCACCTAGCAGTGTACCATACACGTAGAGTTAACATTTAAGTACTGACCAGGCTTAGAGTTTTACATGCTTTATCTCACTTAATTCTTGTATCTACCCATTTTATAGATGTGGAAATTAAAGTTCAGAGAGAGAAATAAAACTTGCTCAGGACAAAAAAGACAGAGCTGGCTGACTCCCAAGCCTACACTGTTAGCAAAGCCTGTTTTGTGGGGTGTAAGAAGGTATAAGAAACAAATAATCTTTTAGGGAGTGGTCTGGACTAATATATAAAGGACACTACAGAATTGAAATGTTGATATTAAAGCATCTTTGTTCTCTAATAACCATATGATCTTTTAGAGAACTAGAAGTTAGTTTTATTTTGTTTACTACATTTTTCTTAACAATTAGCACAATTCATGTTACAGACATGTAAGAAAGCTACACTTGCAAATGATTAACAAGATTCTCAATACTGGCAGGTAATTCTATTGTTGGCAATATACCTAACAAGGAGAAGACAAGCATACAAAGCCCAGGGACATTATTGGTTATATGCTGCCCATAAAATGGTATTTGACTAAAACTCTTTATGTGTTCCTTTTGCTAAGCTGCTTATAGAAGTAAAAGTGTGGGCACTGAAAGTACCTGATATGTTGACAGTCTCTGTGAGAATATAAAAGATAGGACTGACAATGGCAAGTCTCAGACGGATGGGAATCCAACGAGTCATCAGTGCTATAAATAGTAAAAATACATTCCTCTTTTTTCTTCCCTAGCATCGTGGGTAGCAGCATATCACTTTTGATGCTTTTATATTTTTAATTTTGTTTTGTTGGAAATATTTTCTGGTTTTCTAATTTTCAAAATGGTTTATGTTAAACCATCTGGGATTCAATCAGATGTTGAGTCAGCAGAGTATCATCTTGGTCTTTAATGCAGTATATCATCTCAGTTTTACATGAAAAAGTTCAACTACAAAAGCAGAACAGAAAGGGTTGAGTCTAACAACACACTCAAGGACAGTTTTTATCCATACATCAAGATCCAAAGAGTACTTTCCAGCTTGCTTTAGGCATTTAAAAACCTAAACCTAGCAATGGGCAAAGTTTTAAGTTCCTAGAAAAGTGAAGCACATGGCTACTAACAGTTATACTCTTGAGAAAATGTGAAAGATCCACTTAATTGTTTTATTTTTAAATTAAAATATTTTTGGTTAAAAAATCTTTGCCATAAATTTTGATAAGACTCTACTATCAACTATCAAATGGCCAAAAGAGATGTTTAAGGAACTATGTATGCAAAAGAGTATGTACCAGATAGTCCTAAATTTATGAACAGATTGCATTCCAAAGCTTTCTGGAATTACTGATTTTTTTAGAACTCAGAAAAAATTTACTTAAAAAAAAGAAAGAAAAATTTAAAAATGTACTGAAATGGTGGCTGGCTCCTAAGGTATAAGCCTATTTAATGAATAATACAATGTAACTTCAGTACAGTTCCTCATTATTTCACCACCATAGAAAAATGCTAAAGTCCAGCTAGGAAAGCTAGAGGCTAAGCTAATGTTTCTCTTTCACAGGCCCCTCAATCCTGAGAATAGAATATTCTTTTTCTTATTCCTAATCTGATGGATATGGTGATGGTGGTGGGAGGTGAGGGCAAAATCTTTCCAGGGATAACTTCTTTCAAGGGCCACAGGAAGGGGCTCTCATCCTCTTTCTTACCTGCACACCTATATTTATTGGCAATAGTACAAAAGGACTCTATGAAAAAAAAAAACTGAAAAATCAGAAAACACAAAACAATACCTCTTTATTATATCTGCAACTTCTTGAAAAAGTGCCTTTTCATCAGCAGCATAGGTAACTTCTAGTCCTGTAATTCCAGACCTAATGAGTAATGGGGTCTGAGATCTGACATCTAAGAAATAAACAAAATGTTTATTATATATAATTGTGTAAGTACTATTATCCTTTACTTTTGAGTGAAATTATGCTACAAAAATACTTTAAATTAAGACAGCATTCCCCAAAGCAAATATATGATTAACTCAGTTTCTTAAAAAATTTCTCAAAGGTTTTCTAGTTTAATATGCAACTGAAAATTCAAATTTCGTATTTTCAGTTATTTTCCGAAAAGTCTACATTCACAAAATTCCCCAGATAACCTGTCACCTCAAGAGAAATTTTATTACTTTGTTTCTTCCTATAGGAAGAGCCTTGCTTAGTAGAGAATGTTTAAATTAGTGGTGTGCTGGAGAATATTTACAACTACCTCTCCAGGGGAAAAAAACCTCTGATTTGTAGTGCTTGCTTAGCTCCAAGATGTGAAAACTCACCAGGGCTAATTTCAAACTACCAATGTGACATCCACTAGATCAAAAAATTCATGAAAATTTAGCAATTGGCTCATGAGCTGGTACACCAGCTCATGCACACCACTGATTAAACTGCAAATTCCATACAGTTTTTGTTCTGTGCTAAGACTTCCTCTTCAGTTGACTGAATTCACGTATTACCATTTAAAACTGCAGAGGGACACCTAGTATTTTATAAAGTGCCTTAAGTGATGTCCTATATGAAGAACCTCTGAACCAAAGGTGTATATATTTAGGAAGAGATATCAACAGAATGTATCTTAAGTTTCCTATAAACCATTAACTTACAGTAGTAACTTGACTTCTTAAAGCAAAGAGAAACACTGTATTAACAGCAAAATACCAGCATGCATATATAAGGAAGATTGTCCACCCAACTTAGAGATACATAATCATTTGAATTCAGTATTAACAATTAGTATTTTATAAAATAACATTGAGATCAAATTAGATAAGCTTACTGGAAATTTTATTAAGCTCTTCATATTTACTGTATTGCTTCTGACTTCTAACAATAATTCAAGGAAGAATAATGAATCTAGGACAAAGTTATACACAATACTTCCTACTCCCACCTCAGCAAACATTTTAGAAAGGAGTTCCTTATGCTTGCTTGGTTTAGATCTCCAACACAGAAACTGCTCCATGAAAAAGTTCATCCTAGGGTGGGTATATACAAAATTAATAAAAATGAACAATACCTTGACTAGAGACTGTCTTGTCTTTATCAATCACTATTACACCTGTAAGTTCTGTTTTGTCTGTATCTGGTAGTGGAGTGTCAGATGAGATGCAGTAGAACAGAGCACAGATTGGGTCAAATTCAGGATCTGGTTCTAAGTCTCGTCTAGTTCGAGCATGCAATTCCACACTGATTAGGGTAAGATTCTGTATCTATAAGAGGAAATACAAATTATGCTTTTAAACATTTTTTTGAGACACACTGTAAGAAGTATGTTTCACTAGGACTCCAAGGAAATACATGTGTAAAATTACAGAAAAAAAATGGTTATAAGGGACATGGTCACAATTTAATACTCCACAGATTAAAACTAGATTTTCACTTTTAAGAGTAGATTAAATCAATTCATATTTTTCTTTTAGAAAATCTGCTTGTGCTGTAATTTTTTTTCTGATTCTTTGTTTTCACACATCCAGTTTTTTAATTCCTTTAAAAATGATTCTGTGTTTATAATGCCTCCTAATTTCTTTTTTTTTTACATTTTTTATTGATTCATAATTATTTTACAGTGTTGTGTCAAATTCCAGTGTTCAGCACAATTTTTCAGTCATTCATGGACATATACACACTCATTGTCACATTTTTTTTCTCTGTGATTTATCATAACATTTTGTGTATATTTCCCTGTGCTATACAGTGTAATCTTGTTTATCTATTCTACAATTTTGAAATCCCAGTCTATCCCTTCCCACCCTCTAATTTCTAAATGACTATATATACTTAAAACTATTTGTCTTAAAGTACATGTAGTGCCTCTCAACCTTCTCAATTCTTGTTTGAGAAAGAAAATGTACATTCAAACCAAAGCCTGTTACTATGTCTATCAGTTGGGGACTGGTTACATAAATTATGTGGCATCCTTAAAGGCTACATAGAATGGAATACTCTGTAACCCTTAACATTTTCAAAAGAATGAGCCAGATCTTAATGTCCTAATATGGAAAAATAACCACAATACATTGATAAATAGAACAAGTGAGTGTAGTATGCTTCCATGTATGTAAAAAATGTTAAGCACAAGCATAGAAAATGTCTGAAAAGAGACATAAAAAACATAAAACTGTTCATTGCCTTTGGGGAAGGAGACTGCTTAGTCTGAGGTGAGAGAGAAGCTTACTGTTCATTGTAAATCTTTTTCTCTTGATTTGAATTTTTTTTTACCATGTATATGTAATACTGTATGCATTCATTAGTAAATTTGTTATTAAATTGTGCATGTATAAGGCACATGGAATAAAACAGATTTCTAAAAATTCACCACTTTCCTTAAGAAATATGCTGCTGTTTAAAAAAAACCCTAATATCAAAAGATATTATTTTTAATTAATTTAAAAAAACAACTAAAATTAAAAAATCAAACCAAGTAAAATGGGGAGCTAAGGGAAAGAACTTTTACTTTTAAATATATACTCATCAGGATTTTTTTTTAAACAATATGCATGTACAAAAACTTAAAATGGAAAACCTCTCCCCAAATCCAAACAAATAAAAAAAAACAAATTAAAAAAATTTAATTTGAAAAGAATCAACATGTGGACTGACTATAGAGAAAACTGAAGACAATTTCAGGTCAAAAGAGTCCTGGAGGTTGATTTATTTATATACTAGGCCAAATTTTACACTCAAATTTTGCCTTTTTATTTCTTGATATAAAATAAAATGCATTAGTGTTCTCAGGGGCATTTTTTTTTTAAGCAAACATATGGAATGAAGAGATGGAAAGGGAGATTTACTGAGTGTGACTGGCAAAGAAGTGGGTAAGAAAGGGGGACAAGGATTGTAACCCTTCTCTTCTGCATTGAGTATTTATATGCAGAGGGGAGAGAGAGAGAGAGAGAGAGAGAGAGAGAGAGAGAGAGAGAGCAGCCCAAGGTAATGGGAAACAGAAGAAAAAAATGTTATGAGTACAATTTCCCAGAAAAAGGAAAAGTTTTTTTGGTTCATTCCCTACTTGACCACCAGGTGGCTATGTGGCATGTGCCCTGAGATAAAGAAAGCATGTGTGGGGAAGCTATCAGCAACCTGCCAGACCTCCAAAGTGATTTTAACTCGAAAGTGATTTTAACTTCAAGGCCCAGGATTCTGAAACAGGGTTACAGAGAAAAAAGTAACAGTTTAAGAAAAAAATTATGTTTTTCAAATAATAACAGAAAAATCAAAAGTAACAAGTCTTTTTTGCTAAGGTCTATCAAAATTGTTTTAATAAATATTTTTAACAAAGTATTTTAATTTTCTAATTTCAGGTATGTACTCGATAAAATATATATTCCTGAGTTTGTTACTTAATTTATCTGGGCTTCAGGGGATAGGTATAAAGGAGGAACTAAGTGAATGATGTCGAATGAAAAAAATGTACAAATAAATAATTAGGAAGTTAGACGATGTTCCAATCTAATCCTAAAAGAGTGTAATTATTAGTTCAAATATAGGGTAAAGATGAAGACAATATTTAAATTTTTCTCAGTTGATGCTCATCCAATCCTTAAACACTTTAAGACAATTCATTTGAGACCACAAAAAAATCAACAAAAAAATCAAATTCTCAGCTACAAGGGCAGACATAAAACAACTGTATAAACCAGCATTGGTCAAAAGAAATGTCATGAAAGTCACATATGTAATTTTAAATTTCCTAATAGTCAAATTAAAGGTAAAAACAGGTTAAATTAATTTAAAAATTTTTTCACTGAATCCAATGAAACATTACCCTTTCAACATGTAATCAATATAAAAAATTACTAATGAGATATTTTACATTTTTTTTACTATTAAGTCTCTGAAATCAGTATGTGTTTTTACATTTATAGCACAGCTCAACGAGGATGCAATTTTTTTTTATGGAAATAGCTGATCTGTATTTAGGTATTCTAAAAATTACAGTCGAAAAAGTAGTTTTATATACCTGAGTTGTTCCAGGCATACTTAAAAGTTTTCCAACAAATGAGTCAAGTATCAGTTTTTAACTCTTAATTAGTTAAGATTAAATGAAATTAAAAATTCCATTCCCAGATGTATAAGCCAAATTTTAAATTCTCAATAGCCACGTTTCTAGTGGCTACCATATCATACAGCACAGGTATAAACAATAGAAAAATATTCTAATTTCCACCTGACTATCAGTCTGATTATGTGTTCTGAGTGTGTTTTCTTTAACACAGGTAAATGTACAGTGAATCATTCACACACATATTCTCCAGTCTATCCTGTGACTGATGCACATTTCTCAAGACAGCTTTCCTAGTGTTTGCATATGGTCTGCGCTGTGAAGGTAACTAGGTTATATAATCTTATGTGAACAAATGAATTGTAGCAAGCACTAATCCACTGAGCCAACTAAATATAAAATACAAGTAGATTTTAATTTGGGATGTGATATAACATCCTAATATAACAATCCCAAAATAATATACAGTTTCTAATAGTTAAAAAAATTTTTCTAATTTTAGTAAAGAAGCTAAAACATTTTAAATTTAAAATATAATTTCAGTTATAAGATTTGTGAAATCACAAAGCAGTCTCAGTAACTGATGACTAATTTAAAAGTTTCTCTGTTTTATGTAAATATATGAAATAGTAAGACTAACAAGAATAAAATGAAGATTCACAGGTAAAGAATTCAATGTATTCCTCCCTCAGCAGAAAATTTCCATACTTGCACCACAGACTAAAACATGTTAAAGTGTATGTGTCTTTACTGTTGCAGTTTTACCTCATGTAAAGCTTTTGCCTCCTGTAAATTTTGTACGCTGACTTTGAAACCATAAGTATTGCTTAAAGATGGTCCATCAATCTCAGAAGTTTCTTTCTTTGGGGTATTTACTGCTGCAAATTGATTCTATTAAAAAAAAAAAAACAACACAGAGCCAGAAAAACATAAATGAGCAATCGCTTTCTTTCTTTTGATTACTTATTTCTGCTTAGATAATATATTTTGTGTTTAGTAATACATGATAAACTAGTATCATCTCTTTAAATCCACAAAGAAAATTAAGTATTTTATTAGCATTTTTTTTCAGGCTAGTAATTCAAGATACCAGAACTGGATACATGTAGAAACATCTGATATAATCTGTAAACAAACCAAATGTTGATCTTTTGAGTTTACAAGCCCCAAATTCTGAAAATGATAGTCTTGTAGAGAGCTGATAACTGTAGTAGAGGGACATTTATCTTGACCTTTCTTGAAGTATGCAAGCAAGCAAGCAAACAATATATGTGCAAATAGTCTGTGGCTAAAGTTTATAAAAGATTTTAAATTGTGGGTTTGTATTTTATCCTAATACAGCATGTATCTGAAAGATGAAGTAAAACAATTTTCAAAGGGTTAGAATAATCTTCACTTAAAAAAATTTTTTTTTCTGATTTCCAAATCCATTAACGATTTTCTCCAAAATGTCGATTTATGTTCACAACACTTGTTTTTAATAGATATGGCTTGTAATTCATTAATACTGATTTAAAAATGGAAGTTTAGAAAAGTATTTGTAATTTCAAAATAGAAATACTAAAATATATTTTATGTAGTTAATGATATTTATAAAAAGTGGCCACTATGGAAGTAATTTCTATCATATATTTCTAAGGATACACATCTAACGTATACTTTTTTCACATAACTATGTATATCTAAGTTAAGTAATACCATATTTTTAGTATTTGAATAAAAACATTTATGATTTTTCAGAGTTTCAGTAGTAATGTTGCTTTCCTTTGCTACTTAGCAAAATGAACTAAAAAATCAATGTTATATTTGACAAAAAAAGTAGTAAACCAAGAAAAAGGATATATTTTTGGTGGGATCAAAAATCACTTACTTGAGCTCTGCTGTCATTGGATTGTTCTGATTTTGCCAGTAATCAGTTAATGTATTTGTATCCTCATAATCCACATTTTGGCTATCATATTCACTTTCTCTGTAATATTTGTATTTACATATAAGAATCTTTTAGATCCCAACAACAAAAAAAAACTAAAAAAAAATTAGGCAATTTCTTGTTGTCTCAAAGATATGTAAATAAAATGATGCAAAAATATAATAAAATTATTAAAAAACTGATACAAAGTTATCAATTATCTAACTGAAATCTAAGAATAAGAATGGATCTTCCACTGCTTTAAGTATGTTTAGCATAGTTACCTTTGCCTGTGTTAAGAGTACTCTTCTAAAAGCATCAGTATTACTTCCTTTCTTATGACTCAATTTCTGGGTTTTTGGTTCTGTAGAAAGAAATTTTACATTTAACATGTATATCAAAATTATCTGCTTCTTTTAAAAAAATTTTTTTGTTGTTCCAAAGTCTAGTACCATTTAAGAGTATTGTCCTATAAATTCCCCCAAAGACTTCATAATTTAAAAATGAAACGAATTCAAACCTCTGATCTCCACACCAATAACTTAAAAATTTTCATTATTAAATAAAAACATTTAGTTGTTAATTATTGAGTTTTATACCTCAATTATTATCCTAGGGAATCATTTAATTCATTTGTTGACTTATTTATCAAGTACTTATGATAATGAGGAAAAGATACAGTCTCTATCCTCACGGAGAGTAGAGAGAGTCAGAAATTCATCAAATACATATAGAAAAATAAAATTATAATTGGGGTAAGTACAACACAGGGGAATATAACTGGGAATTTTTATCTAGTCAGGGAGATTAGGAAAGCTTTTTTGAGCTAAGAATCAGAAGAAAGAGTAGGAATTAACTAGCAGCAGAGTGGGGATTTTACCTGATTACTGAGCAAAAAAATTGGAAATTGCTAAGGGTGAATAAGAAAGCTGGGGGAGCTCAGGTGAGACATGATGAGGGCTTGGGAGAGGCAGAGATATAGGTAGAGAGATTTGGGCAATTCAGGAAACAAAAAAGTGTAGAAATCACAGGATGAGCAGTGAGGGGACCAGGTGGGTATTATAAATAAATGCCATGTTTCTGATCTATGTAACTCAGTGACAGAGAAATGGTGGTACTATTCGTTGAAATAAGGAAAAGTGAAAGAGGACCAATGGTTTTCAATGTGTGGGCATGTATATGTACGAAGTGTGTTGGGTGGCTGGTGGTAAATGAATACAGGGAGATCATAAATTGAGATAAAAAATACTGACCTTACGGTGCCTTTGAGCATTTAAGTAGAAATGTCAAAGGCAGCTGGATCTAGTGTTCTGGAGCTTAAAAGAGAGTTCTGAATTGGAAATTTAAATTTGTGAGTATCTATAGTACTCCTATAGGCAGGAATTAGGTCATTGAGGAAGAAAACAGTAAAGAAAGCCTGAGGCTAAGCCTTAATAAACTCCAACATTTAGATGATACCTGACAATGTGAGATTAAGCTTCAAAGGAAAGCAAGTAGGAAGAAACAGAGGAGTAGGGGAAAAGCCAAGGGGAGAAGAAGTTTCAAGGAAGCTGTGGTCAACAGAACAATAGCTGGTTTGAGGGCATGTGATAGGAAGACTGAAAAACGTTCACTGGCTTTACCTATGTGAAGGTTATTCAGAATCTTTACAAGAGACGTACTGGTGGAATGATGGGGGCAGAATCCAGTTTGGAGTGGGTTGAGAAATGAGTAGGAGGTAAAGAAAGGGGGTCATCAAATTGGAGAAATCTAAGAAATTTGGCTTTGAGGGAAAAGAAAAAGAGTAGAAGCTGGCAGATATAAGGCCAAGGCAGGTGTCTGGCTTGCTTTCTATTTTAAAGGGTGAGGGAGATTTGGGTATACGTTAAAGCCAATGGGAAAAATCAAATTGAGGAGAAGGTAAGGTTTCTAAGCAGGCTCCTGTATTTCATCCAGAAGGCAGTAAGATAGGAAGGAAGCAAATGTAAATATATCTCAAAGCAGAAATACAAACAGTTTCCATGTGATGATGTCTAAGACATGATAAAATAACAATCGCTCATTAGCTGAAATTTCATTTAAAAAGCTCTGACTTTCATTACATAGTCTAATGTTGTTTTCATTCCTAATCTCTGAAGAGCTTTATGGAGGCTTTCTGTTAGTTGCAAACTTACCTGCTGACAAAGGGCTAAGGCCAGTTGCCTCAGGAAGTCCTTCCAGAAGTTTTCTCTGTATGATTGGTGTACTATGAAGGCAAAGCGATTCACATATTCCAGTTCTTGTCCTAACATTAATTGGAGATATCACTAGAGGTTCCTGAGACTCACTGCAGGGACTTTTCTGTATACCATCTTTTATGGGTTTTAGTAAGTTCTCAATAGTCAGGGAATGCTGTTCCTCTACTGGTGATGAAGCTCTGTGATCTCCGTTTAATGTTTTAGAATCTGGGGATGTTGTCTGTTGCCAAGGTGGAATTACTGGAGAATCAGGTGAGCTATAACTAACATAACAGTCATCCTCCTCCTCCTCCTCATCTTTCTCAGCATCATTTGCAGAAGCAACTGGTGGCAGCGTCTGACTTTCACTTGCAGTTTGACTGCATCCTGTGGTTGGCGCTTGTAAAGCAATCTGAGAATTATCAACATCTTCCTTGGTATGTGCTGTAGTGAGGAGTGTATGTGGAGTTGTATCCATTTTTGGAGGCACTACAGGTTTGTCATCTGGATTAACTGAAGAGCTGAAGTTCTCAGCAGATTTTACAACTCCAGTTGGCTCTGTTTTAGACAGTTTCTTGGAACGTTCATATTCTTCTTTGGCTTGGAGCCATGTTTGAACCAGTTGTCGACTTGGGGCACATTTGCAAGGCATAATCACAATTTTTTTATCTCCAACCATTTTATGGCTATTACTTAACCCTTTATTGACAACTGCTTGGCCACTGCGAAGAGGTGACCCTGGTCTTGGATTTTGAGTCATTGCTGAGAATGCTGTTTTCCACAGACGAAGTCCTTCCAAGGAAAAGTCTCCCTCAAACTCAGCCAGATCATTTGGAAGTCGAGTTTCTACCATGAGAAGCCGTCCACCGATCTCCCTATAAACAACATATTTTAGAACAACTGTTTTGTCTCAAAGAGCAATTACCAAAATATTTTGGCCCCTAACCTAGAGATTTTTAAAAGTTCTTCTGGAATCTTAAAAGTGTCCATCTCTTTCTTCATTTTCTGTGCTACCCACCCCCATACTTTACATAGGTACACTATATTTACCCTCAATATGCTTTTCCTCACAGGTATATGACTATTAATTTTCTTTGGAAGGTATCATCAACACCAGGGAAAGAAGGTTTTTTGGGGTTTTTTTTTTAGTGCTTCGTGAAGACTTGTTTTCTTCAAAGAGATGACTCAAATTCATCAGATTCCTGTCCTCTACTCATCTTAAATAAACTTCCACTGTCACCACACATGAATAAAAATAATGGAAGAATTTATCATCAGAGATTATATCCCTGAATTTTTTCTACAGCCTCTTTTTACATTGTCTAGTATCCATAGTAGTAGTTTAGCAAAGCCAGTCAGTTCAAACAAACCTTTCTACCCTGCCAAATTCCCTAAACAATTAAAACACACACACACACACACACACACACACACACACACACACACACAAATCGAGGTAATTTACCATAATTCTTTTCCCCTTTCATACAAGGTTTAACACTAACAATAGAACTTAGAGGAGTTGGCAGAGCCCTCGGAGCCTAAGTGTTACTAATGCATGTGTATGTGAAGAATCACTAATTAAAAGGTAGCCTGGTTTCAATAGTTATTATAAATATTAAGCTAATCCTCTCTCTCTAACGCATATCCATTGGTACTATTTCTGCCTTCTACAGCAACATAAGTCTACTTTTTCTTCCTCATGGTATCTCTTTCATGGATATGAAGAAAGTTCTTAGTTTCTTCAGTTACTTCTCATAGGACATGATTTCTCAAATGACCTGGTCATTCTCTAGATAAAACTCAATGAAATGACTTCTTGTATTCTGACTGGAGGTGAAGGAGGAGCACCAGGGTTACCATATTTCCTTTTCCCATTTACAGGGAAAGATTTTGGTCCCTCCTTGTTAACTCTGTAACCAGGATCTAGCACCTTCCTTGTACTCCCACCTTGCAACTTTATATAAAATTAGAAGAATTATTGCTATTGAAGGAAATGAGTACACATGTCATGTGACTATACCCAACTCTAATATTAATAATACAGAGATCATAATGAAGTAAAAAATAACAAAAATTGGTGAGGTGTGGTAAATTCAGCTTTCTTGAATATTAACAGCAGCATGCTAATAGCTACAACTCTCATAGTAATGTATATCAGGAGCCTTAAATTCTTCAGTAACACTTCCTTGAGATCTATAAGGAAAAACTCCAAAATACAAGAAATGCCTTATGAAGAAGATACTAATCACTTAATTATCCATAGTGGCAAATCAGAGAACAAACTTTCCGTCCAGTAACACACATGACAGAATATTATGCAGCCATAAAAATGACATTTCAAGAGACTCATAAATTTAAACTGTTTACAATATAATGTTAATAAGTGAAACAATCTCAATACAATATTGTGACTACAGTAAAATCATATTTCAATAAAAATAAAAGCCATACATTAAGAAAACTAAGAAAACACATTAAAATATTAATAATGGTTGTCACTAGGTAGAGAAATGGTGTGACTTTTATTTCTTCTTTTATATTTCCTTAATTCTTCTACAGTGAATACATAGTTTTTAATAAAAAAATTGTTTTTCAAATATAATGACTATCATCTTTTTATTTCAGCTGCAGGACAAGTATCAAAATTGGACAACAGCTAACAGCAACACAGAGTAAATGACTAGCACATGATAAGTTAACTAAGAATTAAAAAGATGTATAAATCTGAGGAGGAAAAAAGAGATCAATTAAAAAATATACTATAATTGGGGGGAGGGTACAGGTCAAGTGGTAGAGAACATGCTTAGCATGCATGAGGTTCTGGGTTCAATCCCTAGTACCTCCTCTAAAAACAAATAAACCTAATTACCCCCCGACACTGCCAAAATAAAAATGTTTAAATAATACAATGATAAAAAAAAATTTAAAATACATATACCATAATCATTACTACTGATAAAGTCAAAGCCTCTAAAATAATGGAAACGAATGTGTAAGGAAGAGACATTCATTTATTCTGGCAGTGAAATAAAGAGTTCCACTCATGTTAAAAGGCCACATGTGGGTATAAAGCAAAATGGAACAGAAAACTATGTGTTAAGAAGTGCAGGGTGTTGGGGAGGGGGAAGTGCCCTTCACTTCAAATCCTTAGAGGAGGGAACTTCTACTCTATATTTCTGATGACTTTTTCTCACCCATTTCTTAAATGGACTCCTGGAGAAATTACTGCTAATCTGTTGGGTAAAAAGCCTGGCATTTATTGTCTTTTTACTAGGTGGGGCCAGGAACACGGTACTGCTCAAGATCAGTGCATACATCCCCTTGCCTTAGTTGGCTCTCTGTAATTCTTTCCCTTATTTAGACTCAGCAGTCCTGCTTCTGACTGGATGATTGAAATGAACTGCCTCTCTCTCTGCAACTGATTAGGTAAATGGGGTCAAAGACACAGGGGCAGGACCAAATATCATCACTTTAAACTTTCTCGATTAAGCCAAGTTCCCCAACTGAGCTCTCATCACATATGTTCTACCTTGATGATACAGGCAGGACAAGAAACCTACTTAACTACTGGCTTATAAGTACTATGATTCCTTTGCATTTTGCTATTGGCTGTGTGTGTGTATCTGTCTTTGTTTATCATTTCTCTGAAAAGATTCTTAGAAGAAAAAAGAGGTAAGGGGAACATAAGTCCACCTTGCACCCCTACTAATTGTACAAACTAACAATAGTAACGATAAAACCTAAGATGCTGGCAACATGAAAAGAGAGTAGTATATAATAGAAACAACTTAAAACAATCATTTAGATATGTCATAAGAGTATTTAGAACATATGCGTGCTCATTTTCAAACACTAAAAAAATGAAGTTCTTTGTAAAAATTATGAAAGTTTACCATTTTAGAAATAAATATCATCTTTAAAATAATTATAATACTTTTAAAGTATTATGTATGATACCTTTCTTGACTTGGCATCATGTCATAGTGAGCCTCACATCTTTAATCCTTAATTTTGACACAGTGTAAAGTAATAGTAGATCTAAGATCAACACTCATCAACTGAAATAAATTTCTCTAGGTAT